GTTCACAGTGTTAGAATTTCTAATCATTCATTAAAATTAAATGCAGATAGATTCAGGAAATATTTTTATTCAGCATAGATTTAAACTTGGAATTTTCTACTAATAGTTGTGGTAATTGTCCCAACTGGTTGGCTTTAAAAGAGACTAAATGCCTTTGGTTGGCCATGGCGAGACATAGAATCCTGGATTTCATGGACCTTCAGCTTTAGCCAGAAGGCCTCTTCTTATATCCTTGATGGAATTAAGTAACAGAAGGACTGAACAAATAATGAAGAGTTGTAAAGGATACGAATAACTACAGGTAATCCTCAACTTACAACAGGTCACTTAGTGACCATTCAAAGTTGAAATGGCACTGAAGAAAATGACCTATGACCATTTTTAACACTTATGACCGTTGCAGCATCCCCATAGTTCTATGATTTACATTCGGATGCTTGACAACAAACTCATATTTATGACAGTTGCAGTGTCCTATGGTTATGTGATCACCATTTGCAATCTTCTGACAAAGTCAATGGGGAAACTGGATTCACTTAACAACTGTGTTACTAATTTAAGAATTGCAGTGATTCACTTAACAAATGTGGCAAGAAAAGTCATAAAAGGGAGCAAAACTCACTTAACAAATTTTTCACTCAGCAACATAAATTTTGGGCTCAATTGTTGTCATAAGTTGAGGACTACCTGTATTTCAAGATGAGTGGTTATGGCAGAGAGTGAGTATTTAGGTGCTTTCTTTTCTCTATTATTCAGATGATCGTCCTCTTCAAAGGTTCAAAGGTTCAAACCTTCAAAGGTTCTAAAACTTAGATGCAAAGAGAGAAAAGTATCAAACATATTAACTTATTAAACACCCAGTCGAGGTAAATAGCAGCAAAGGACACTATTGAAAAATAGAGAACAAGACTCCATTTTCCAAAACTCCTGCTAGTTTCATCTTTAAGTCCTCAAGCATCCTTAAGTCCCTGAACTGTAGCAAAGTTGAGTTGAAAGTAAAGAGTTGACACTGAATGAGAAGGGGACAGCAGTGCTCTGGGTATGGCACTTCCCAAGACAGATGAATGGGAAATCTTTTACTGATCATATCAAGAACTTCAGTGGGTTTCTGGGCACCAGTTTTTTCCTGAATAAGCAGGCATCAATAATGCAAAAGTGGGGATGGGTTGGTTTAAAATCATTTTTCTAATTTTATCTGCAACATATTCTTCTTTGTATAAACTGTTCCCTTTTCAAACAAAGGAGATTTTTCTTGCCAGGACAGTCGTCACATTTTGCAAGAAATAATGAATGCTAAATGGGAATGCTTTTAAAAGACAATTTCAAAACTACTGCCATCTCCTATTAAGCACAGACTGTCATTAAAGAAGTTGTGCATTGGAAAATCAGACCTCAAAATGAGCTGATATTTTTTATCCACAACACTTTTGAATATCTAACGCATTGCTTTCCCCCTGGCAATGTAGCAGTTGCTTGTTTTCACCAATATGCCTATCCTGTTCAAAGAAGGACATCTGCAGTAATAAAGCTGACAAATCAGGGTTGCAGAAATCTGGATAAACACTTGATAGCAGGAGAGACATACAGAAAGTAACAGTGCCTTGCACATGTGTCAAATGCTCTATAATTTAGTACTGAAAATGTATTTTTCAAATAAATAAAAAAATAAATTTGAAAAATGGATATCACAACTATGTGATGTATGCTTACACTTGTACTTTATTTTTTCTATTGGTGAATATATAACAGTACCAAGTTGCTTTCTATTCTCACAACTCAACGTGCACACAATATTTTTTCTGCTATTATGCTATCCTAAAAAATTTTGATGCAAGTTTGAGAGAGAGAGAGAGAGGGAGAGAGAGCGCACGAGAGAGAGAGCACTAGCTTACATCATCTTCCAAATGAAGTGCTTTGACTCACCTCTCATGGTAAAATGCATTAAGCTCAGGCCCAACAACTTGCCAAATATCATTATTGATAAGGGTAACAAATGTAAAGTAAAGCAATGCGTAAATCTTCTCCCATGCTACATCAGCACAAATTGCTGGAAAACAGGTTAGGCATTCTGCTTGCCTGTTAATAAGCAACATCTCTAAAATGCTGTTGGAGTTGCCACATTATTAAGTATTAAGGCCTAGAGTTTATTTCTGCATACCTATTACTTATTTCTGAACTCAAAGGTTCACAGAACATGTTTTGAAAGATTAGTTCATACCTTTTACATCCACACTTCCATACCTCCAACTTCAAGTTTAATGGAAACTTGAAAATTTCTAAAAAATATTTCTCTTTTTAAAGCTGTGAATTTTAAAAAAAGGGGGGAATCCTGAATCTTTTTTTTTTTCTAAATTTGGGTGCAACCCAAAATAGCTAACCTGCTTTCATTAGGAAGACTCTTGGTTCTTAACACAGAATGGTCTGTTAAGAATTAATAACTAGGAGTTAGTTGAAAATATTCCTCTACATTAAAAAAATATACCTAACCAAGCCTGGGGAATTCACTGCCCCCCACTCCAATTTAAAAATCTTCCAAAGAAAGAAAAAAGAGAAAGTAGTTTGTTACTGGAACAGGGCAGAAAAAAGTAAAAACACCTTGGAGAGGAACACAGTCTCAGTAAAGACCAAATGTGGACTTGTAGCTTTGAGTATATTTTCATTCAAGCGCATTTTAAGAAGTGCAAAACATAAAAGTGCTTTAAAACCCTAAATTCTATCTAATTCTAGCAGGACACTGAATTCTTCTAGGGAATTCTAAAATCCACAGAAATGCATATGCAGATCATACAGTGCAGTGCTTTCTCAACTGTGGTGTTCATACTCTGAAACTATCCACTTCTCCAGAAGGCTAAGTTCACTTCCTTTCTGTTAATATTTCAACATCTAGTTAAGGCAAACCAACCCAGGCTTCTGCTTCCTGAACATACGTGTCTGCATATCTCTATCTATATTTCAGAGTCCTTCTACAGCTGAGACCGCTCAAGGATGGGTAAAAGTGCTAGACCCAGGGAAGTGATGTTTACCCTTAATATTCCATCTTAAACTGTGGCGGGCAACAAAAAGCACTTTAATGGACAGTCTGAAATGATGTCCTTTGTGCTGGCAATTCTGTGGTTCAAATTTTGCTGGTTTCTTATGGGTTTCAGCCTTCAATTTGATTGCTCATCTCTTCACCCATTTCTTAGTCCACTTTTGGCTGCTTGGGACATAAAAATTCAAGTCTCCGCCATTTTTTTCTTTTTGAATGGGTTGGTTGACTAGTTAAAGCCTTGAAATTGACCAGCCCATGCTTCATTTAGTGTGCAACTGGAAGTATAATTGTACTTAGCTCTTGTATTTTTGTAACCTGCCAGGTAGAATTATTTTCCATTCTCATTATTCCTAGGAAGGAGCTACCTGATCACTACTTCTCTAACATTACATTCTTAGAATAGTCTTCAGCCCTACATCAACCCACAGAACTTCTTCAAGTTCCAATTCTTCAACAGGACTTACTCAATGGCTGCATCTTGGCTAGTCAGATCCTGACACCAAGCAAGCAGTCAAGCAATAAAAAAAACTGAACTCATTGCTGCCACCCTGAAAGGTGGAACAATTGACCAGTCAACCAACAGTTTTAAGAATCTTTTTTTTTTAAAAAAATCCACTGATTGACCTACAGAAAATTCAATTCTTTTTTACAAATAAAAATAAAAATGCAGTCTGTAGTGTAATCAGAGAATTGTGCATGGCAAATGAAGGAGGTTTTTCATATGCTGGATAGCATCTGGATGGAGCTGAGGGAACCCCCAATCATCACCCTTAAAATATGCTAAAACTTTCTGGAAGCAGCTGACCAGAAACCCATTCCAACTGTGTAACAAGGATTATCTTGTTTGGGCAGCAACATTTAAAATATTGTCTTCAGGGTGGAAGGGAAAACTAGCAAAGTAGATACACAGATGTATTGCTTTAAAATCCTCTTCATTTACTAAGCAGTGTTGCTACTTGTTATACACCGTGAAGCTTGGTACTATACGTTGGTTTCATAGCATTCATTTTGATATAAATAAAATTATACTTCATTAGCCACTTTATTTTATGGGGCAGAGTTTTGGCATATAAAGAGTTAAATAAATAACATAAACTAAAAATAAGTCATAATCCTCAAGCTCTCTTCCTCCCAAAGAAAACAAAAAACAATGAAACATTGCCTGGAACTTGTCACAGAAAGGGAAAGTAGCAAACCAAACCAAATTCAGAAGACAGAATAAACAGTATAGCCGGCAGTTAATTCACACTGAAATTTTCTTCAATGGGTTACTTTTCCAGTCTATCTGTACTCCCCAAAATTATTCTTAAATAAATAATCTCTTTCTCTGCAAAGAAGAGAAACAGATTATTTTATTTAGAAAATAAGATAACCCAGCTATAAGGCCATAGCTGATGTTATGGTTCTGCAAAGAAAATGTTAACATAATTATTTCGTAAGAAACAGATTCCTAAATAGTAGAGATTTTAACAGACTAAAGTGCACAGACACGGTGCATACCATTCGTACCAGATAACCTGAAGGGTCTGTATTGCAGAACAGTCCATAAAGGAATGTATGGATGGAAAGGATAAGAATTCTTATTTATCTTATAAGACACACAAGGTCAGAGAGAGCACAGGAAAGCTGTATATACTTCTAGGGGAGATGGATGAAAATTCTTTAATCTCTTGACTGCATACAGGAGATTCCTGAATAATAATAATAATAATAATAATAATAATAATAATAATAATAATAACAACAACAACAACAACAACAACAACAACAACAACAACAACAACAAAAAATAATAAATATAATATTAATATTAATCTATAATATTAAGATGATAATCAAATCTATGGGAAGTTATTTCTTCGGAGAGTTCAATCACTGCATTTTGCATCAGTGTCTTGTTCTGAGATTTTATCTAAACTATTCTACTCAAAAGAATAGTTGAAACTGTATCGATGTAGACACATCCTACCTTTAAAAGCGAAACCATATACAGGATAATCAATTTCCATTTATCCTGTAGTTTTATGGTTATCAGAGGTTCTCCAGCAATTATTTGTTCTCTAAATAGCTGAGCTTCTTTCCCTTTCTTCTTTTCTTTCTTTTTGCTGGAAAGATACAGCAAAATAGAAGAGGTTATGATCTTAAAAAACAAAATGATTACAGTGGGATTAACAGTGAGAAGATAAGAGAAAGGGAAGAGAGAGATCAGGATTTTAAAATACAAAAAAAAGGGGAAAAGAAAAAGAAAGTAAAATATAAAGATAGAAAGGGAGAAAGAAATGGAAGGAGAATGGGGTAAAGGAAATGAATACTAAGGAAAATATGAAAATGTATTTTTAATGAAGTGATTTTAAAACCATATGGAAGTCAATACTCAGAAATGAACTGTATTTTTAATGAAGTGAGTTTAAAATATATGGATATATGATGAATGTAATAATTGGAATATTTTTAATTAATGAAGGGTATTGTAACAAATGGAATATTCTTAATTATATAGTTGGAATTTAACTAAATAAGAAAAGTAAGTTGAAATGATATTGGATTATGAACTACTTAAATATATTTAACTGGTTTTTGATAAAAATGTTGAAGTGTACTATTTGGAACAATTGATAATGAAAAAACTATTTGAGATTGGAACAAGACAATTTAAGAAAATAATTGGGAATTGTAGTATGTTATGCAAATTTAAACGAAGAGATATTGGAGTAAGATTGATACTTAATAGATTTTTTATTGAATATGTTTAATTGTTGAAATGTATTATTTGGAATAGTTGATAAAAGAATCATTGGTGATTGAAATAAGAGAATTTAAGGTAATAATTGGGGATTGTATTATGTTATGTGAAGTTAAATTTAGGGGTTCAAATTTTAAGGAGGGAAAAGAAAAAATGAACTATATTAGGATGAGAAGTAAGATGAAGGGTAATATTGGTTTCTTAGAATTAGAGAGAATAAATGATATGAGAAAAATTATATATAAAATTGTGTTAAAGATGAACAAAAATCTGTATAAATTTAAAAGTGGGCCAATATTCTGTTCAGAAAAGATGCATTGTATGTTTGTTTGTATGTTTAAAAAATAAACAAAACTTTACTAAATAAATAAATAAATAAATAAATAAATAAATAAATAAATAAATAAATAACTGAGCTTCAATAAAAGCATCCCAAATATTGCTTTTGGGTGAAATGAAAGAGGAGGTGGGGCAGTGATTAGAACACAGTGTTGCTGGCTAACTCTGCCTACAATCTGGAGTTTGATTCTGACTGGCTCCAGGTTCACTCAGCCTATCATTTTTTCGAGGTCAGTAAAATGAGGATCCAGATTGTTGGGGGCAATATGCTGACTCTGTAACCTGTTCAAAGGGTGCTGTAAAGCACCATGAGACAGTATATAAGTCTAAGTGCTATTGCTATTGCTATGGAGATTTCATGTAAAAGAGCTATACTTGATTCCAGAGATATGCCAACCTAGTTATGATCTCTTTTAGGACTAACTTCCTTGACTGTAAGAGCATTTTTTCCCTTTCCCTATGGGTTACGGACTGATTGGAGAACCACATATTTCAATATTTCAGACACTTCCTTCCTTCAGAGCAGCAACTGCAACATGAGGAAAGTGAAAATGAGAAAACAGTTCTTATTAATTTAATGAGAAACCTGTTCCCTATTATGTACTTCATGTCACCAGTAATGTATTGTGATACATGAGTTTTCTTAAGCTGAAAAAAAGTCTTACTGTGAGCATGACAAACTGGAGTCAATTATATTATTTGCTGGAGCTCATAAAACAAATAGAGAAACAGCAGTTGTAAGCCTGTGTGGTTACCTAGACCTTTGGATTCTACATCATATGAAATATTCATAAGAACAAAATCAAACTGGTATAAGAATATTTAAGAGTTATTTCCCAGAAATATCATTAAGAATATAATTTCTAAAACAATTAGTTATACCAGGCCTTCATTTATTCTATTTTATTATTTTATTTATAATTCATTTTTCTTACTATTTAGTTACCCGGGAAGTGAAGTATAGCATACATTGTTTTAGACAGATATGTCATATTTGATGCATCCTTTACAATTAATTTATTTGTGTTAATGACCTTTCCATTAAGCAGATTAAAATTATACCCCATATAAATTATATTTGTTTCTAATTTTATGGTGATTTTATTGCCCTGATTTTGTGCACCTTTGCATTCTATTGTGCATCTATTGGATAAAATTATTAATATAATTTGATTTCAGGTTATTACTCTAGAAGAGAATGCCATTAAATTTCCATTTTTCCTGCTGGTCAAAGATCGGTGATAGCCTCAGTTTAAAATTTGTCTAAGCATGGAATGTGGGAATAAGCTAATTCTTATGTACTGGCTCTATAATCTGGTCTAATTAGCACTGATATATGTATGCTTTGATTTTTATTGCTATTTAAAGAATGGGAGATAAAGAACAAATCTGTACTATTTCACCATAGTATAACGGCAACTCTAACCTTACATAATCAGGATGTTACAGATACAACTGGTAGAAATGAATATGCTAAATATGAATTTAGCATCAAACAAATTCACTATCATCACTAACACACATCCTGTACACTCCAGGGATGTAAGATATACCAATTCAACAAACAAATACATAAATATCTGAGCATCCTTCTCAGCTGCTTGCAACTCTCTAGTCTAGAGGCAGAGATGGGATTCAGCTGGTTCAGACCAGTTCAGGCGAACCGGTAGTTCCGACAATCAACTGGCCCAGCCCATCCACACCCATCCCATCCTGTCCTTTATTTCCTTGTTTCTAGCTTATCTGAATCACACGTTACAGCTGATTTCCGTGCCTCAGCTGTCCTACTTACTGGGGCTGACTTAGAAGGTAAGCATCTGAACTTTAAAAACCTCAAATTTTAGCGCTCTGTGCGAGCACTTTAGGTGCGCACATGCGCTAAGCGCATGTTCACCGAACCGGTTTTTAAACCGGTTGCAGCCTACCACTGTCTAGAGGGAGTTGTAACTCTCACTTTGAGAACCCCTAGTCTACAGCACTGGTATGCTTATTCTATTTGACCTAACCAAAAAAAAAAAAATAAAGTTCCCTAATTTGGCATCCTCCATTTGTGAACTCCAACTTTTGACATTCCCATACCTTGGTCCTTCTGGCTGGGAATTCTAAAGCCTGTAGTCCAACTCAGGCATAAGGAGAGAATAAGTTAGGGGAAAGCCCTTCAGAGAAACATTTATTGCCATTAATTAGTGTTGTATTTCTTTGGCTGCACACTGAAATATAGACTACAGAAAATCCTTCACTTAGTTTAGGTCAAAGAGAAAGTCCTGTGCCAATTGCTATATTAAGCACATTCCACTAATGAAAAAAGAGCAAAGTAGACATGATGCTGAAAACACTATTAAAAACAACATCAGCTTTATTTTTAATGGAATCGCAAACATAAGGCTGAGGGGTGGACAGAGGCAGGGTTTAAGTCAGTTATCCTCTGTGGTAATTTGACAATACTTGGACATAGTAAAAGGAATATCCTATTGGCACCATCTGAACTTATTTCTTAAGGTTACAGCTACAAAAGATGAGATTTTATTTAGGATCATAGCTGGGAAGAGAGACATTCCTCCTTCCTTCTTTACTGGAGTTTGAAGAAATCACTCCCTTTATTTCCATTAAATACAATTTTTTTAAAACAAGAAGCATTATATTTATTTCAACCCTAGTCAATAGCCATCCATCTAATAACCAATTAGAACCAGAGATGTTATTAGTTACATTACTTTTTAAAAATAATGTATTTTTTTTCAAAAATCTCATGGGGTTGTGAAGGGGTAGAGACTAAATTTATATTTTAACTTTTTCCAATTCTCCATGAAAATTAAGTAGCTAAAATCTGCTATTGTCCTTCTTTGACAGTGATAGGACTTGATGGGTATGGAGTAAAAGGAAGTACACGGTAGTAACTTAGAACAGCCCCCAACCTTTTGGGCACCAGACGCAAGTTCTGTGGAAGGGGTTTTTCCACAGACAAGAGGAAGTGTGGTTTTGTGTGCAGCCTGCATCCCATAGATGAGGCTTCACTTGTTTGCATGACCCAGTTTCTGGAATGCCGTGGCCCGATGCCAGTCCATGTACCAGGGGTTGGGGACCCCTGACTTAGAATATATTCTGGCCATTCCTTTTTTACACTTGATGATTTTGGAGCATAGACTTGAGCTTGGAATCTGATGAAAACATTACAAGCAGAAGAATGCTACATACACTGTATCTACCAGTGTAAACAGGATTGAGAGATTATCTGGATGTGGGGGGGGGGGGGAAACCATCTAATTTTAATTTCTGTGTGAGTCAAGTTTTCTTTAGTGTATCATGAACTATGAGCACTGAAAAACAAAGCATTTATTTTTCCCACATTATCAGTCTCTGCTTATGAATATGAGAAAAACAAATGGTGTCGCAGTAGGTTTCTTAGCATGTACATTATGGTCCTAGAAAGGATGTTCTAGGAGCTATATTCCTTTATGGATCTCCTCCTTCTCCTGAAATTTATAGACTGATAATCACAAAAGTGTCCATTATCATTCATTTGACCAACAGCATTCCATTAAACTAAAGGAAAAAAAGAAGGCACCTGGAAAGGTCTGGTAATCAAAGAAGTGCAAGCCTTCTTCTTTTTTTCCCCCCTAATATATCCTCATGACATGCTTATGTTTCTTCCAGCTTTCCCTCTTCTGGTCTTTGTTGTTGTTATTAGTTGCGAAGTTGGGTCCGACCTATCACAACCCCATGGACAGCATTCCTCCAGGCCTTCCTGTCCTCTACCATCTCCCGGAATCCATTTAAGCTCACGCCTACTGCTTCAGTGACTCCATCCAGCCACCTCATTGTCTGTCATCCCCTTCTTCTTTTGCCATCAATCTTTCCCAGCATTAGGTTCTTCTCCAGTGAGTCCTTCCTTCTCATTAGGTGGCCAAAGTATTTGAATTTCATCTTCAGGATCTGGCCTTCTAAAGAGCATTCAGGGTTGATCTCCTCTAGGACTGACCGGTTTGATCGCCTTGCATTCCAAGGGACTCACAGGAGTCTTCT